CTGCAAACTAAAGAGACCCAGCTCCCTCATATTTGCAAAATATGTCTATATATCTACATATATGCACACGTATATATGCAAAATATATCTACCTATACAGACATATATGCAAAATGTATCTATATATGTAAACATACATATGCAAAATGTATATGTATATCTATCTATACACACATATACATGGAAAATGTGTGTATATATCTAGACACACATATATATGCAGAATATATATATCAATCTATATATACACATATATATGCAATATATATCTATATATACACACATATATGCAAAATATATATCTATATCTATCTATATACCTGTCTATATATCTATATATATATGTATCTATTTACATATATATACTAAATGTGTATCTGTATACCTTTTTAGTATATATACATATATACTAAACATATATATATACACACACACACATATATATACATATATACACTAAATAGATCTATGTATCTATATATCTATATATCTATATATTCCATATTTTATGATGAGGGTGCTGAGGCCCTGGCCCAGGTTGCCCAGAGAAGCTGTGGGTGCCCCCTCCCTGGCAGTGCCCAAGGCCAGGGTGGCCGGGGCTTGGAGCAGCCTGGGCTGGGGGAGGTGTCCCTGCCCATGGGGTTGGACTGGGGGGGTTTGGGGTCCCTTCCACCCAAACCCTGCTGTGATGCTGTGAACGGGGCTTTGAGGCTGATCTGTTGGGCAGTGTCCCTGGAGGTTGGCCTGGGTGACCTTTGGAGGTCCCTTCCCACCCAAACCCTTCTGTGATGGGTCCCTCCCCATGGGGGAGGCCACCAGCTTGGCTTCTTGGATGTCCCCGTGATGGAGCACGGGTCTGGCTGGGTGAGAGGCTTCAAACCGACCCATCCTTGGGTCCCCTCAGCCCCAATGCTCACCCCTTTGGCCCTTCCCGTCCCCGCAGAGCCCAGAGGTGGTGCAAGCCGTGGGCAAGCTGAGCTACAACCAACTGGTGGAGAAGATCATCACCTGCAAGCAGGCCAGCGACTCCAGCCTGGTGAGCGAAGGTAACGGCCCCCCCACCACCCCACTGGGACCCCGGGAGGGGCTCGACGCCCCGTCCCACCCCGCTGTCTCCCCAGGGCTGGTGGCAGAGCAGTTCCTGGAGTCCACGGCCTCGCAGTTGACGTACCACGGGCTCTGCGAGCTCACGGCGGGGGGCCCCTCACCTGCAAGCAGGCCAGCGACTCCAGCCTGGTGAGCGAAGGTAACGGCCCCCCCACCACCCCACTGGGACCCCGGGAGGGGCTCGACGCCCCGTCCCACCCCGCTGTCTCCCCAGGGCTGGTGGCAGAGCAGTTCCTGGAGTCCACGGCCTCGCAGTTGACGTACCACGGGCTCTGCGAGCTCACGGCGGGGGGCCCCGAGGGCGAGCTCAGATCAGCACCATGACCAAGCACAAGGTGCGGCTCCGGACCCCCCTCTTGGACCCCTCCTCAGCACTGGCCAGGGCTGACTGTCCCCTCTCCCTTGTCCCCAGGGCTACCTCTACCTGCTGGTGACGGACCAGGGCTTCCTGCAGGAGGAGAGGGTGGTGTGGGAGAGCCTCCACAACGTGGACGGTGACAGCTGCTTCTGCGACACCGACTTCCACCTCAGCCACGCGCCGGGCAAGGAGGGAGCCACCGTGGCCCCCCCAGACCACCAGCTCCAGCAGAGACAAGTGGACCAGGTAGGGGACACCGGGGTGACAGCGAGGGACACGGCTCCAGGGGTTGCTGCGGGGTTTGGGTGCGCTGTGCTGAGCTCTCCACTTTGTTTTTGTGTGTGTGTGTCCCCCCCAGGATTACATGATCGCCCTGTCCCTGCAGCAGGGCCAGGAGCCCTGCGCGCTCAGCGACCTGGAGCTCGCGCGGCAGCTGCAGCAGGAGGAGTATCAGCATCAGAGGTACCCGGGTGCACCCTCATGGGGCTCCAGCGCTGGGTGCGGGTGCTCCTCGTCCCCCCAACTCTGCCCAGGGGGAGGTGATGGTGTCCCTTGGGATGATGGAGGGGGGTGATGGTGTCTCCCTTGAATGATGAAGGGGGCTTTGATGGTGTCCCCTGGGATGACAAGGAGTGATGGTGTCCCCGTGTGGTGATGGAGGGGGGTGATGGTGTCCCCTTTGGGATGATGGGGAGGGTGATGGTGTCCCCCAGGATTATGGAGAGGGGGTGATGGTGTCCTCATAGGGTGATGGAGGGAGGAGGGGGATGCTGTCCTCCCAGATTGATGGAGGGGGGGTGATGGTGTCGCCTTGGGATGATGGAGAGGGTGACAGTGTCCCTCTGGAATGACAAGGAGGGTGATGGTGTCCCCATGTGATGATGGAGGAGGTTGATGGTGTCCCCTTGGGATGATGGAGAGGGTGACAGTGTCCCCATGTGATGATGGAGAAGGTTGATGGTGTCCCCTTGGGATGATGGAGGGGGTGTGACAGTGTCCCCTGGGGATGACAGAGGGGTCGCTGCATGTCCCCCCCTCCCCAGCTCCCCTTTCTTGCACCCCCAGGCCCG